AAACACCAGCGTATGCTTCACCGCCAAGCTGGACGGGATATAAGTACTCAGGTTCGAACCCCTCAACCACCAGTCATCACCAAGACGCTCCAGACACTACTGCAGATATGGTCAGTCTTTCTCCTTTTCAGGTTAATAGTATATTGTGTTTACAATCGTCTACCCTAATGTCTGTTACCCAGAGTTATTGTTTCTCCTGACGAATAATCCTCTCATTTGCTATTCAATCCATGTTCAATGTTCAATGTTTTTTATGTTCAAATTTTTCCAGTAAATATTTTTTCAATTTTCCCAAGTCAATCAGTCTAGCTTTGAGTTTAAAGGTTATTCTTTGTGGGGTTTGAACTTAAATATTTCAGTCGCAGTCACTATATTCATAAATATGTTTGTTGTAATATATATAGCACTTGCAGACCTTGTTACAGTTTAAAGGAAATAGTTATAAAATACAAATATGTATCATATTTTATATTATTATTGATTTTGCTTTCCAGGCGCTGATGTTGATGACCGCATGCGCTGCTCTCCTTGACCTATGCGCCGCACAAGGCGTCGCCCCCAGTTTTGGCCTCACTGGTGCAGGGACATTTCCCCAAGATGCCGGGAGATTTCCCCAAGATGCCGGGAGATTTCCCCAAGATACCGGGAGATTTCTCCAAGATGCCGGGAGATTTCCCCAAGATGCTTTTGGTTCATCTGGTGATGGACCAAGCTTCTTTACCAGTGGTATACCAACAAATCAAAATCCTGGATCTCTCTCCAATTCTGGTGTAGGAAGTGTTGTTAATCCGTTTGCTAATGACTTCGGCCTGGGCCCTACTAGAACCTTTGGGGGAAATAATTTTGCCGATGGTTCCTTTGGAGTTAATGGTCGTTTACCCAGTAGTTTCTTGGGCTCCACGGACAGTGTAATTGGGTCTTTGGGTGGCTTCGGCGGACCTGTTGATTCCTTTGACAGCTCGTTCGGTAGCCCCTTTGGCACAGGATCTCTTATTCCGTTCATAAATGGCTTCGTCAGAGATCCTGTTAGTTCCTTTGGCGGCAATGGTGGTGGTTCCATCGACAGCTTATCTGGTCTTAATGGCCGCTTTCCAGGTTTATTTCTCGTCTCCGAGGACGATTTTGGAGGCTCTTTTGGTGACTCTCGTGGCTCTGTTGGGCCCTTTGGCAGCCCTCTGGATGGAATTTTAGGGTTCAACAACAACTTCGATGCCTCTTTTGGAGTTCCAAGTGCGTTCGTCGGTAATCATGGAGGTTTCTTCGTACCCATAGTAACTCCGTCGGGAGCTTTCCTAGTTCCATCATCCTTGTTTACATCTTCCTAACTAGCGGTGTAGGTTAGTGTTACTGGAAGTTGTGCTTCCAGTTATAGCAGACATCTAGGCGTCCTTGATGTACGGGCCAGCCGAGGCTCCGAGGCGTCCGTGATACGGATACTGTCAAATTATTTATTCAGCTCAACCCACGTGACTTCTTCCAACTTCAATGGAAAAGTGAATGGCGTAACTGAATTAATCACTACATAACATTTATAAATATATTTACATAAACAGATTTATTGTATTTATTTCCCCACTCGACAGTATAATTAAGCATAATTCGACACCATGAAATTTTAAATATATATAAACTTCGAAATATTAATAGAAAAGGTAATAAAGTAATTTTTTATTAATATTCTGTTCAATATGTTGGAAAAATATAATAAATGTTGAAAAAAAATTCATTTATTTTAATATAACGTGTTCTCTATTTCATAATATAAATAAACCATTAATGTTAAATACATCACCGAATGTTGTTGTGTGTAAGTGTTTTTATGTGTTTGTGAATGTTAATGTGTTGGTCAGTATCTGTTTGTTTATGTATGTGCTCGGGTCTCTTCTCTCCTTTTCTTCCCTCTTCTTCCCTCTCTCTTGCCCCTCTTTCTCCCTCTCCCTTCCCCTCTACTCCCCTCTCTCTCTTCCCACCTCTCTCTTTCCCCCTCTTTCTTAGTCCCCTCTCTCTTCCCCCCTCTCTCTCTTCCCCTTCTCTCTTCCCCCCTCTCTCTCTTCCCCCCTCTCTCTTTCCCCCCTCTCTCTTCCCCCCTCTCTCTCTTCCCTCCTCTCTCATCTCCTCTCCCAACTCTTTCACAGTTTTCCCCCAGCTCCACTCTCTCCCCTCTCTCATTATTCTTTCCCTGTCTCACTTCCTTCTCCTCATCCCATCTCTCCCCTTTCCTTTTTTATCCTTCGCCACTCCTCTCCCTCCACCCATTCTCCCATTTTCTCCATCTTTGTTCTTTGCCTCTCCCTCTCTCACCCCGTCTCTACCCTATCTCCCATCTCTCCCTCTCTCTTCATCACATTTTCCTTTTCTCTACTTTCTCCACCGTTGGTCAGTCTCATAACTTTCCAGGACAATCGTTCGAGGATCCACGTCGTCTGGTTACTCTATTTTATTTATTTATTTTATTTATTTATTTATATACAAGAAGGTACATTGGGTTTGTGGGAATACATAGCATGGTACAGTAATTGCACTCTTGTAAAGCCACTAGTACGCGCTGCGTTTCGGGCAGGTCCTTAATCTAACAGATAATTTTAAGTAGGTAAATTCTATCAGAATTAATAAAATGATAACATATACATTGTAATCTCCTTAATCTCCTTCACATTGCGTCCTCTACTTAAGTAGTTTACAGTTGCAAACTTGTCCACTGTTCTCACAAAGTCAATGTGACTGAGGGTTTATGAGCGTACATATGCTGTGCAAGTATGTGCTTAAAAGACAGACTTCAACTCCTGGGTCCCGTCTTGTAGTCGCTGATTTTAACGGCTTCGGAGATCTTGGTGATTATCATATATACTCAAGAAACCATGAAAGAAGTTTACATGAACTACTCTTGAAGTGAAGTACATTTTTCTTTCTTTTTTTCAGATATTTTTTTTTCAGTTTATTTGAACTTTTAGTAGTAATAAACACCCTGTCATGTTGCCACTGTTGTTGCCCTGTACTCGCCCAGTCGCGCTTGCGAGGGTTGAGCTCTGGCTCTTTGGTCCCGCCTCTCAACTGTCAATCAACTAATGTACAGATTCCTGAGCCTACTGGGTCCTATCATATCTACATTTGAAACTGTGTATGGAGTCAGCCTCCACCACATCACTTTCTAATGCATTCCATCTGTTAATTACTCTGACATTGAAAAGGGTCTTTCTAACGTCCTTGTGGCTCATTTGGGTACTCACTCTCCACCTGTGTCCCCTTGTTCGCGTGCCACCCATGTTAAACAGCTTATCTTTATCCACTCTGTTAGTTCCTCTGAGAATTTTATAGGTGGGGATCATGTCTCCCCTCACTCTCCTGTTTTCCAGTGTCGTGAGGTCTAGTTTTCCCATTCATCGTCCTGCCCTGTTCTTGTCCTGCCGTCCTGCCACTGTTCTTATCCTGCCCTCCTGACACTGTTCCTGTCCTGCTGTCCTGCCACTGTTCTTATCCTGCCGTCCTGCCACTGTTCTTATCCTGCCGTCCTGCCACTGTTCTTATCCTGCCGTCCTCACAAATTTTTGCAGCATCTTCAAATATTGATACAGATGTCTCTGTTTACTGTTAGGTCGCTGAGACACAGATCAATATGAGCATGAACCTCAACACGAACCCCCTTACACACGCCAACCACATACTTTCCCAACCTTGCATTTCTCCTTTCACAGTTACCTTCTGTTTCCCATCCGAGCGATAGTCTCTCTCTCCCATTACTACACTTCCAGTTACGCTTGCTTTGGTTTTAGTTTTGTTTAGGAGCCTTACGTAAGAGGACTCTGTCAAATGTTGTCTTATAATCAAGACTATAAAAGAGAAGGCTACCTACCTTCTGCCTACCATTTTCTTTGGTGATTTGTATATGTAACATCAAGATACCATCACCACTATAATTGCATGGTACTTTCACTACAACACCAATAAAATACAATTTAAAAAAAAAACAGCAAAGTACAGTAAACTGATGGACAGACGACAAATCTAGGACGGTAGAGGGACGGTCTTGCTTCATGCAGGTCGGCGTTCAATCCCCGACCGTCCAAGGGGTTGGGCACCATTTCTTTCCCCGTCTCATCCCAAATCCTTATCCTGACACCTTTGAAGTGCTATATAGTTGTAATGGCGTGGGGATTTCTCCTGATGGTTCCCTTCCTCTTCCTTCAACTAAATTGTTCTTGCGCATCAAAAACAATAACATAATGTCTCTCTAACACTAAAATCAATATATAGAATCATCAATAAGGTAACATCATCCTAACATCAAGAAGGTAACATCTGGCCATCTTAAATAAGGTAATGTAGCTCAACGTCACTAAGGTAACATCATCCAAACTTCAGTTAGTTATCATCAACCCAATATTAATTTTGTAACATCAGCTCAACATCAATTGGGTAACATAAATCTAAAAGCAATAGGATAACATCAGATCAACATAAAAAGTGACATCACCCATCATCAATAAGGTCCCATCACTCCAATATCAATAAGGTAGCATTAACCCATAACTGATACAGTTATATTAGCCCATCATCAATAAGTACCATCAGACCAACATCAATAAGGTACCATCAACTCATCATCAATAAAGTAACATCAGCCCATCATCAAGATAACATGAGCGCCTACAGTAAGCGTTCATTTTCAGCTATAATTAATGTACAACTCTCGCAAATAACTATGTTAACACCTATAATATTTCGCAGACTTCAGTAATTACAAACTATTACAACAATTATCATACGATTATTTCTGCTTTGTTACATCCACCTGCACCACTGAGCACTGCCACCAGCAGCCACTAACACCACTATCACTCCCATCTAGTGACGTGGTCATGTATATAGTTTTCCCTAACATCCTGAATCTAATTTATACAAATGAATCAATAACTTCCACAAAGAGGCAGAGTATCATGACTACTGAGAGTAATCACTAACGTGCTTATATCACGTTATTGTATCATGGTCACGAGATTACCATGGTCATCATGGTCATACCATAGTCATAGAGAGTAATCACTAACGTGATACATCAATGATCAAATCCGTCCATTTATCATGCTCACCTACAGGAGTGACCACTGCCATTGAAAAATATTACTCTACAGCTTAGTGTGTGTGACTTTAACAAGACAACGAATTACACAATTAATATCATGAGTAGACGTTGTTCACCGAACCGCTTTGACGCCACAAAGGGCGCTGTGACCTTCGGGTGTCCGTGTGCGCGACCACGGAGCGGAACGGGATATAAGGGGCCCGACAGGACCTCAGGCAGCAGTCAAGACCGAGGCTCACCTGGCAAACAATACTTCCTTTGCCATGGTCAGTTTCTGGTTTTAATGTTAATATTTAATATAACTTTTTTTTATTGAGGATTATCTCCTCTCATGCCTTTGTCGACAATAATTATTGTCTTCTTAATAAATACTATTTCATTTAGTTCGACTGTTGGCATTCCATTTTTTATTAATATTATTTTATTAATGTATTGTTTATTAATTTATTTTGTATTAATATGTTTTCCAGAAGTTGTTGTTGATCGCCGTTTGTGTTGTCGTGTTTGGGTCGTCCAGAGTATACAGCGCCTCTCCTCACATCAGGGAAGCGGCGGAGAGCAAGACCCCCAAAAGCATTTTGACTCCTGATGGAGAACAAGAAAGATTATATAGCGGACGTCGGAGTGCCTTCAATGGGGCACCTAGTGGCTTAGTAGGACCTGGAGGAACATTTAGTGCGAAGCCAGGTGGTAAAGGAGCTGTAACAGCAAGCGGACACCCTGGAAACACCAACCCGCTTGGGGACTTCTCCAAGTCCGGAAGTCAGGCTTTCACTAATTCAGACACAAGTGCCAGCGTCAAGCCACATGTGAATGGATTCACCAGTGAGCCTGTGAGAGCCTTCAGCGGTAATCGTGCTGCCTTCGGAAACACCTTTGGTGTAAAACATGATCTGTCAAGCACCTTTGCAGACTCCTCAAATGATCCAGTTAGCTCCTCGAATCCCCCTCGCAACGGCAAAAGTTCCTCTGGTAGCAAATTGATAACCACTGTTATTGGTTCATCTGCTTCAGCTAAGCTTGATGCGAGTAATACTGGTAATTCGGCGAAGAATGCTGCCTCAAATGGCAACGATGGTTCCTTTGACAGCTCCTTTGGTGTTACTCATCAGTCAAATGACTTTTCGGACTTCTCAAACGGAATTACTAGCTCGTTTGGTGGCCCACACGACCTAAGAGGCTTTGGCAAGTCCCTCGGTGCCTCCGGTAGTGGGTTTTTCACTAATTTTGGCGAAAATGGTGCCTTCAATCCTCTTAATACGGAATTCAACAGCGGTTCTCATAGTTCATTCGGCGGTAATGATGGTTCATCTAACAGCGCCTTTGATATAAGAAATGGCCAACCAAGTGCACACATAAACACTCAGGGTGGTCCCTTTGGTGGCATTCGTGGGTCAGGCGCTGCAGGTAGTGGACCTTTTGCTAGTTCAGGAGCGAACAGGGCTTTTAATCCGGTTAACCAATTCTCGAGTGATTCGGTTAGCTCCTTCGATAACTCTTTTCGTGTCAATAGTGGTCAATCAAATGGTTTTGGGAACCCATCTGGAGGTTTTGGTGACCTTCGTGACTCTGTTGACGGGTCTGGCACATCTGTAAGTGGGTCTTTTGGTAATCCCAGTGCGAGTAGGAATTTCAGTCCGAGTCAAAATGTATTCGTCAGCGGTCCCAGTAGCCCATTTGGAAGCAACGATGATTCTTTTCACAGTTCCTTTGGCGAAAGAAATGACCAGTCGAATAGCTTTGTAGACTCCTCGGGTGGAATTACTGACACTTTTCGTGGCCCTCGGGACTCTATTGGGGGGTCTGACCGCTCTCTCGGTGCCTCTGGCAGTGGGTCGTTTGCTAATCCTGGTGAAATAGGTTCTAACAATCCAATTAACGAAGATTTATCAAGTTTTCCTGGTAGTTCATTCGGTGGAAAGGATGACTCCTTCGATAGCACTTTTGGTGCAAGAAATGGTCAGTCAGGCGGCTTCGGAGAATCGTCAAATGGTGGTGTTAGTTCCTTTGGTAAAATTCCTGGTTTTGTAGCTGCCCCAGGAAGTGGAAGCGGCACTTTTAATCAGATGGACAAACAGTTTTCTAGTGGATCGGCTGGCTCCTTTGGCGGCGATGTTGGTTCCGTCGACAGCTCGTTTGGTGTCAAGAACGGTCAATCAGATGGGACTACAGACTTGTTGAATGGTCTTCTCGGTTCGTTTAGTGGCCTTCGTGGGTCTGAAAGTGCATTTGGCAGCTCTCTCGATACTTCCGGTAGTGGAAGTGGTCCTAAAGGTCCCTTTCATGGCGATAATGGTTCATTCGATAACTCCTTTGATGCAAAAAATGGTAGGCCAGAAGGCTTCGGGGGCTTCCTGGACAGAAATGATGGCTCGTCTGGTGGCTTTGGAGGTGAATCTGTTGGCGGGTTTGGTGACTCAAACAGTGGAAGAGGTGTTAGTGTGTTTCCTAATCCTGCTGTAAATGGCAAAGTTAACCCGATTAACAAGGATTTCTCCAGCGCTCCTACTGGTTCATTCATGGGCAATGGTGGTTCCTTTGACAACACCTTCCGTGTTAAAGGCGATCAACCAGGAGGCTTCACTGACTCTTCAAATGGGTTTGCTGGCTCTTTTGGTGGAGTTCGCGACCCAGTTGGAGCCTTTGGTAATCCTCAAGGTACTCCAAGTAGTTTCCTCGGTGGCTTCAGTGGGTCCGGGAGTAGTCCCGAAGGCTTCAGTGGGCCCGGGAGTAGTCTCGGTGGCTTCAGTGGGCCCGACAGTAGTCCCAGTGGCTTCAGTGCGCCAGGCAGTAGTCACGGAGGTTTCAGTGGGTCCGGGAGTAGTCCCAATGGCTTCAGTGGGCCCGGGAGTAGTCCCAATGGCTTCAGTGGGCCTGGGAGTAGTCCCGGTGGCTTCAGTGGGCCCGGCAGTAGTCCCGGTGGCTTCAGTGGGCCCGGCAGTAGTCCCGGTGGCTTCAGTGGGCCCGACAATAGTCCCGGTGGCTTCAGTGGGCCCGGGAGTAGTCTCGGTGGCTTCAGTGGGTCCGGAAGTAGTCCCGGTGGCTTCAGTGGGCCCGGCAGTAGTCTCGGTGGCTTCAGTGGGCCCGGCAGTGGCCCCGATGGCTTCAGTGGGCCCGGCAGTAATCCCGGTGGCTTCAGTGGGCCCGGCAGTAGCCCCGATGGCTTCAGTGGGTCCGGCAGTAGCCCCGGTGGCTTCAGTGGGCCAGGCAGTAGTCACGGAGGCTTCAGTGGGCCCGGGAGTAGCCCCGGTGGCTTCAGTGGGCCCGGCAGTAGTCTCGGTGGCTTCAGTGGGCCCGGCAGTAGTCCCGGTGGCTTCAGTGGGTCCGGCAGTAGTCCCGGTGGCTTCAGTGGGCCCGGGAGTAGCCCCGGTGGCTTCAGTGGGCCCGGCAGTAGTCCCAGTGGCTTCAGTGGGTCCGGCAGTAGTCCCGGTGGCTTCAGTGGGCCCAGCAGTAGTCACGGAGGCTTCAGTGGGCCCGGGAATAGTCCCGGTGGCTTCAGTGGGCCCGGTAGTAGTCCCGTTGGCTTCAGTGGGCCCGGCAGTAGCCCCGGTGGCTTCAGTGGGCCCGGCAGTAGTCTCGATGGCTTCAGTGGGCCCGGGAGTAGTCCCGGTGGCTTCAGTGGGCCCGGCAGTAGTCCCGGTGGCTTCAGTGGGCCCGGCAGTAGTCTCGGTGGCTTCAGTGGGCCCGGCAGTAGCCCCGGTGGCTTCAGTGGGCCCGGCAGTAGTCTCGATGGCTTCAGTGGGCCCGGGAGTAGTCCCGGTGGCTTCAGTGGGCCCGGCAGTAGTCCCGGTGGCTTCAGTGGGCCCGGCAGTAGTCTCGGTGGCTTCAGTGGGCCCGGGAGTAGTCCCGGTGGCTTCAGTGGGCCCGGGAGTAGTCCCGGTGGCTTCAGTGGGCCCGGGAGTAGCCCCGGTACCTCTACCAGTTCCTTCGGCAACAGCGGTGGAGTATTCATAGCCTTCGTGACTCCGTCGGGAGTCTTCTTGGCTCCGTGGGCGGTTCTGGTGTCCCCTTCAGGTGTAGTTGGATAATTTTGAAGGCTTTAGGATATATGTGGCGGTCTTGATATTTGTTCTTAAGGCTAATAGAATTTTATTAACGAATTCATATATTAAAATAATATATATATTAGTAAAATAATATTTAATATAGAGAAGAGTATGTTAAACTATGAAGTTACAATATTCCTTTAAAGTGTGTATGTTACTTTAAAAGTATATATGGTATATATGGGTTGATTCATATACTGGTGCATTTAAATATTACAATTTAACTTTATAATATTTTATTGACTTTTACATCTAAATGTTGTTCAATTTAAAATATATATAACATCTGCATAGGAAAATGTTGTGAAATATTAAAATTTAGATCATAAAATCCAACTTACATATATATGAAATAAATAAAGATACAATATTAAATTTATATATCACTTACTTTATATGTTTTTATATATTTAAGTTAAATGTAGAATGTGTATTGTTGATCAGACCACACACTAGAAGTCTCAAGTGTCTTGAGACTCTTAAGACTTCTCAAGACGTCTCATTCTTAAGTCTCAATCGACTTGAGAATGGTCCAGGACGGACCGAAACGTCGTCGTCCCTTCATCTTCTAGTGTGTGGTTTGGTCAACATACTTTAGCCACGTTATTGTGACTCATCGCCCGCGTAGAATGTGTATATTTAATGCGTAGTTGAGCTATGATGCATGTGTATGAACATGCATTGTTGATTCAGTTACTGCGAATATTTTTTTATTATATTTTCTTATAAATACCGAACAGTGCGTATGGGTTAGTGAAGTCTAGTTCTTCATGTTCAGTCCCTTCTTGTTCCTGATGCGTTATTTTTAAATTTTGCTGACGTTAGAGTTTTTTGTCGTATCTGACCTTGACGTTGTGGATGGATAAGCCTCTATGACATCATATTTCAGCGTGTTCCGCCAGTTTGTCAAATGAATGTGGTAGGAGAACATTCTTATTTTCATTTGTCTTAACTGCATTTGCAGCTTCCACCTATGTCCTTTTGTTATTTTTCTCTCACTTTAAAGAGTCTGTCCTTGTCAAAGTTGTCTATAACCCCTAAGTAACATATTCCACTTACTGAAAGCTCTAACGTTGAAAAACGTTATCTGACATCTCAGTGATTAATTTGTGTTTCTAATTTCCATGTATTACCCCTTGTTCTTCTATTTCTGGTTATGAACAATGGTGTTGTGTCTACGTTATCAATTTCCCTTAGTATCCTTAGTGTCCACGTTATCAATTACCCTTAGTATCCTAGTAGTATCCTTAGTATCCTATATGTTGCTATCATGTCCCCCACCTATTGTTTCATTTCTCCAGTGTAGTTAGGTCCAGTTCTCTCAGTATTTCCTCATAGTCCAATCTCTCCAGCTCATGAACGAGCCTCGTTGAATATCTCTGAACCTTTTTAAATTGTCCTTGTCCTTTTTCAGATGAGGGGTTTCAATCCCGGGACGCATATTCAGGAGTAAAACTCACCTTTATTGTGTATGGAACACGTAAGCCCCTTCATTCGAGTTCCTGAAGGATACACGGACGTTGGCCAGTATACCACAGACGATGCTGTCGTTATTATGCTGATGTCGGCTTCTGGCATTAGATTTGTGGTTACATCTACTCTCCTGGACGTCCCACTCCTGTTCCATTCCTCATAACTTTGCATTTGGGAGGGTTAATTACTAGCTAATCCATAATTATCTGTCTCAGTCCTGAATCTTTTCATTGGTTTTGCATCATCCGCAAACATTGATATTTCTAATCTCTAATCCATTTCAATCTCATTTGGGTTCCATATAAATGTTATTGATATGGACCAGTTTCCAGTCACGTTGTGGACATATATTTGAAACAAAATGTTCCCCAAAACCGACCCTTGTGGTACTCCACTCCTAAATATCTCTGTAGCCCTTTGTTTCCATCTTGCCAAGTACTCCCGGACCCACCTTAAAAATCTTTCAGATACGCCAGCCTGCTTCTCTAGCTTCAGTAAGAGTCGCTTATGCGGAACTTTATGGAATGTACCTTCCGCCCCTCTCCCTTCTTATCTTCTTAATAGGACCAATGTTACCTACACCGACAAGCCTATGACAGCAGGTCCCGCCCACCAGACCTCTGCAACGTTGGGTACAGCAAGAGCCAAGCTCCTGGTCTCCAACCCATATATGATCTTTCATTGATAGGAAAATTACACAATAATGAATGCAATAAATGTGTGTGCTTGATTTAGGATCAAATTAAACATTGAGAGGAACCTGACGCAGCATTACAGTTAGTATGACAGCCTCAGATTAAATGCATATGTTAGCCTCGAAAATCGAATCATATTCAGCGGTTCCTTATAAATTCAACACATTTACATATGATATATAATAGCACAAAAAAAATACTGATCTTATTAAATGCAGATTATGGTAGATTCTGCATCACATGTAATTAGTGGAAGAGCAACTGTGAGATCATTAACATCCGCGTACACAAATCGTCTGAAGTTGTCACGATAATTCTCCATTAGACATACATGGAACAAATTATGCCTTGCATGTCTTCAATTATTAAAATTAAAAATACTATTTGTATGTCGATATGTACATTGAGGTATGTATCGTGCTTCTCGGTATATATATATATATATACCTCGACCTTATCTTAGCCGTGAACTTGTTCAGGAATAGAATATACATGCTAGGTAGGTCAGTAAACTATTGTGGTTGTCTTAGCAACCCTCGAGTGGTTGCTAGGCATCAAGCCCAATCCAAGAACTATATTTGATCTATTAAGATTGCATATGTGCATTACCTGTAATTCAATCAAGCTACAGCAGCTGTGTCGAGATGGGGACCGGTGAATAATGCACTAGGGGGCCTCGTAGCCTGGTGGATAGCGCGCAGGACTCGTAATTCTGTGGCGCGGGTTCGATTCCCGCACGAGGCAGAAACAAATGGGCAAAGTTTCTTTCACCCTGAATGCCCCTGTTACCTAGCAGTAAATAGGTACCTCGGAGTTAAGTCAGCTGTCACGGGCTGCTTCCTGGGGGTGGAGGCCTGGTCGAGGACCGGGCCGCGGGGACACTAAAAGCCCCGAAATCATCTCAAGATAACCTCAAGATAACTCGGAAGAGCTACTAGTTCAATCCCTCCTCCTAATAGAACGTTGCATTTTGACTCATACTTTACCTAAGGCTAAAAATCGTCATACTAGGAAATGGTAGCGGCGCGCGTAATTGACATACTATCCCTTTTTCTGTTTTGAGTCCTTTGGTAGGTTAGGATAAGGATAACATAAACATTAGGATAGGATAACATAAACTATTATGTTTCTTGACGTTGGTAAAGCTTAGGAGGACGGGGCTGACCGCTAGCAGAAGTGTTAGATAGGGTCCTTAAAATGATACCTATCAGTAGCTAACATTGACATCAATACTGGACAAAAATACATCAACACGCACTGCCATGCCTCATTTACTCAGTTCACACAGACACAATCACAATCAAACTTTAACAACCGCCCGCCATAACTATGGCCCTCGATTTAACCAGCTGAGCAACATCAACCTCGGCAGCGGATAATGATAATATCTACTAACATCACTTTTATTGACCACGAAAGTCACATTCACCGTGACAGTGATCTCCGTTACCACACTCGCCCTTACTAGTAACAACATTACGCTAAAGACGCGAAAATTGACGCTATTATATATATTATACAACTCCTTGTCCTAGCAGCATTCGTTATCTTGATTACCTTATCAGTTAGTTGCAGAAATTACAACCTTCATAACCAAAGTAACTGTCATTATCTTCACTAACAACCGTATTATCAGTCAACACTTCTAATAACAACCCTGACTTCAGCCAGTACTTCCAGGTACAACAACGACAAGAACAGTCACCTTCACAACTTCCTCAACTACTCCCACATTAATTTAACATCAACAACTGCCACCATTACTTGTAGTAATTTTAACAACCGTTGTTACAATCGCAGGAGTTTTAGATTACTACTATTACAACTACAGAGAGTAATCACACTAACCTGACTGCAACAATGAGAAAATCCGTAGGAGCCGTGATGTGGATTCGAACCTGTGTGGTGGGTGTTCGTGTCGAGGTCAAGTCATTTAGAGCATGTGTCTGGGGGAACACCTACCGCATAGGTTCAAATCCTCATCACACCTCCTACGGATTCTCTCATTACAACCGAACCACTGAATCTCTCACTCATTAAAGCAACACATTTGGATAATATCTTTAACCTAAGTAGATACAGCTACAACTATTTATAAACAACAATTACAACTATTAGTTCAGAACCCACAGCGATCAGAGACGGTATCTCCGCTGCAGTTGTAGTCGTCAATAGATCATCAATATCAACAAATACTATTATCTCTGAAGAGAAACACCATTAACAACCATTGGTTATTAATGGGGTTTCCATAGAACCCTATGGAACCTCCATATAACCTTATAGAACCATATAGTTTCCATAGAACCCTATTAACAACCATTGGTTGTTAATAGGGTTCTATGGAGTGAATGAAGGTTCCATGGGGTCAATGAGGTTCCATGGAGTGAACAGATCCATTGCTGTTACTATGGTTTCATACACACAGAAAACATTATCAAAATAATTCCCGTTAACTACAACCAACATCACCGGGTCACACAAGCAACCAATATCTCCTAAGATCCCAAAAAAATACTCCATCACAACCAAGCAATCGGCCACCAAGATAAGGAGTTGCACAATGACTCACCAAACTATTACCCAGGAGTATAAGTATTCAGCAAACCGCAGGCACTACACAAAGGGTGTCCAGGTGGTGTCTTGTGACGTCTATTTAGATGATCACAAAGAAGTAACGAGGGCGCTTAGCGGAACAAGAAGGACCTTGCATCACCAACCCACACCACAAGTCACTTGATAAATTATCATATCTACCGTGGGCGCTGTGTACCGTATATACGTAATATATATATATATATATATATATATATA